GGTGAGAACTGATTCCTTTGGCCACTGTAGCTTTATTAAAATTGTTTCAAGAACTGATGTTTCAGAAAAGAGTCCAACCAGCTACTTATGTTTTAGAAAAGAGTCCAACACAGCTACTTCTACAGCTTGGCCCTTTCAACCTAAAAAAATGCAATTCAGATATTGATCCTGAACAATTCAGAGTTTAGTGAACAAACTCGATGAAACGTCTGCTAAGATCTTGTTCTCTGTGGTCTCAAAAGATCTTGTGCCTAGTGTCCATGAAATGCCAGTCCATCGATTTTACATCTTCATCCCCCCTCCCAAACAATGATAATTACGTGCAGTAGAGTTTTCAATCTCCATATTCGATTTTGTAGCTTAATTTTGAATCGTCAAGCACTTTTAATAACCCTACATTTGCCACTCAAAATAGCACATTTTGTTTTTTTAACAATTCAAGCTAAATATTGGTCGATTATAGTCATCTGTTGTCATGATAGATATTAAGTTACAAGACATGACCAATGGAATATTGAGCAATGAACATATTTGGCTTAAATTCTTCTTAGTAAAGAACTTCATGGCTTGACCATTAAAGCTATTAATGGGAGGGCATTTAAGCCATCTGATATAACAATAGACATTAAGTTATCACACATAGTTGTAGGAGTTCCAAATAATACTTTGTCTAAATGTTACAAATGATTCCCTCTGTTAATATATGTCTTTAGCATTTAACTATTGAGCAAACAAGAGTCCCCAGATGGACTTTTCAAAATAAAATACAATTAGTTTTTAACAAACCAAGGTTCTAGCCTGTTTCTCGAAAGCTATCATGTCAGTCCCAAGTGTTGGGGATGTAGCTCAGTGGTAGAGTGCATGCTTCGCATGTATGAGGCCCCGGGTTCATCCCCGGCATCTCCAGTCTTGCACACTTTTCTTTATAATGGTGTGCTATTGATATTTCTTCATATAATTCCACTGAGGATTTATTCAACAGAAGATAATTGAATCAAGTGAATATTTAGGCGTGAATAGCGGTTTTCAAAAAATTCTCAAACTTAAAGGACATATCTTTAAGCTTTCACCTTCTCTTGTCTCAAAATGTTGATCCTGATTTGCATTTGAGGACAAAGTCTGCATTAGATTTCCTCATTCCCAAAGAAAATAGAATAGCGTTGCATGTTTTTCGCCAAAGTGTTTATGTATTAGTGTAGATAGCGTTTTGAATCGACAGGCAGTTTTAGCGACTCTACATTTGCCACTCAAATTAACATATTTTATTTTTGCAACTATTCAAGCTTGCAATGGGACCATTATGGTCATCTGGTGTCATGATAGATATTGAGTTAGGAGACATAGTCATAGGACTACTAAACAATAAACAGATTTGTCCCAAAAGATGATATACTTAGTGAAGATTTTCAAGGCTTTAACATTAAAGCAATAAATGGGAGGGCATATCAAGTGAAATATTAAGGCAAAAAGGGAGGTTTACAAGAACTTCTCAAATGCAGCTTTAGGCACAGCTTCTCTCAATAAGTGTAAACGTTACCATATGCTTTTAGTTTCACTACAATTCTGAACATTAATGAATTAATCCAAAGAGATTTCTTTAGGTTCCCATCCTCTCCTGTTTTAAAAGGTTATGCCTGGATTCCATCGGAGGACAAAGTCTGCATTAGATGTCCTCATTCCCAAAGAAAATAGAATAAAGTTACCTGTTTCTCTGAAGTGGGTTTTTAATAGTGTACATTGCTTACCCTACTTAAATTCTAGAGTTTCTGGATGTTTTCTTGACTTGACATTTGTAGTTTTCTTGACTTCTCATTAGGTGAGAACTGATTCCTTTGGCCACTGTAGCTTTATTAAAATTGTTTCAAGAACTGATGTTTCAGAAAAGAGTCCAACCCAGCTACTTATGTTTTAGAAAAGAGTCCAACACAGCTACTTCTACAGCTTGGCCCTTTCAACCTAAAAAAATGCAATTCAGATACTGATCCTGAACAATTCAGAGTTTAGTGAACAAACTCGATGAAACGTCTGCTAAGATCTTGTTCTCTGTGGTCTCAAAAGATCTTGTGCCTAGTGTCCATGAAATGCCAGTCCATCGATTTTACATCTTCATCCCCCCTCCCAAACAATGATAATTACGTGCAGTAGAGTTTTCAATCTCCATATTCGATTTTGTAGCTTAATTTTGAATCGTCAAGCACTTTTAATAACCCTACATTTGCCACTCAAAATAGCACATTTTGGTTTTTTTAACAATTCAAGCTATATATTGGTCGATTATAGTCATCTGTTGTCATGATAGATATTAAGTTACAAGACATGACCAATGGAATATTGAGCAATGAACATATTTGGCTTAAATTCTTCTTAGTAAAGAACTTCATGGCTTGACCATTAAAGCTATTAATGGGAGGGCATTTAAGCCATCTGATATAACAATAGACATTAAGTTATCACACATAGTTGTAGGAGTTCCAAATAATACTTTGTCTAAATGTTACAAATGATTCCCTCTGTTAATATATGTCTTTAGCATTTAACTATTGAGCAAACAAGAGTCCCCAGATGGACTTTTCAAAATAAAATACAATTAGTTTTTAACAAACCAAGGTTCTAGCCTGTTTCTCGAAAGCTATCGGGTCAGTCCCAAGTGTTGGGGATGTAGCTCAGTGGTAGAGCGCATGCTTCGCATGTATGAGGCCCCGGGTTCAATCCCCGGCATCTCCAGTCTCGCACATTTTTCTTTATAATGGTGTGCTATTGATATTTCTTCATATACTTCCACTGAGGGATTTATTCAACAGAAGATAAATTGAATCAAGTGAAATATTTAGGCGTGAATAGCGGTTTTCAAAAAATTCTCAAACTTAAAGGACATATCTTTAAGCTTTCACCTTCTCTTGTCTCAAAATGTTGATCCTGATTTGCATTTGAGGACAAAGTCTGCATTAGATTTCCTCATTCCCAAAGAAAATAGAATAGCGTTGCATGTTTTTCGCCAAAGTGTTTATGTATTAGTGTAGATAGCGTTTTGAATCGACAGGCAGTTTTAGCGACTCTACATTTGCCACTCAAATTAACATATTTTATTTTTGCAACTATTCAAGCTTGCAATGGGACCATTATGGTCATCTGGTGTCATGATAGATATTGAGTTAGGAGACATAGTCATAGGACTACTAAACAATAAACAGATTTGTCCCAAAAGATGATATACTTAGTGAAGATTTTCAAGGCTTTAACATTAAAGCAATAAATGGGAGGGCATATCAAGTGAAATATTAAGGCAAAAAGGGAGGTTTACAAGAACTTCTCAAACGCAGCTTTAGGCACAGCTTCTCTCAATAAGTGTAAACGTTACCATATGCTTTTAGTTTCACTACAATTCTGAACATTAATGAATTAATCCAAAGAGATTTCTTTAGGTTCCCATCCTCTCCTGTTTTAAAAGGTTATGCCTGGATTCCATCGGAGGACAAAGTCTGCATTAGATGTCCTCATTCCCAAAGAAAATAGAATAAAGTTACCTGTTTCTCTGAAGTGGGTTTTTAATAGTGTACATTGCTTACCCTACTTAAATTCTAGAGTTTCTGGATGTTTTCTTGACTTGACATTTGTAGTTTTCTTGACTTCTCATTAGGTGAGAACTGATTCCTTTGGCCACTGTAGCTTTATTAAAATTGTTTCAAGAACTGATGTTTCAGAAAAGAGTCCAACCCAGCTACTTATGTTTTAGAAAAGAGTCCAACACAGCTACTTCTACAGCTTGGCCCTTTCAACCTAAAAAAATGCAATTCAGATACTGATCCTGAACAATTCAGAGTTTAGTGAACAAACTCGATGAAACGTCTGCTAAGATCTTGTTCTCTGTGGTCTCAAAAGATCTTGTGCCTAGTGTCCATGAAATGCCAGTCCATCGATTTTACATCTTCATCCCCCCTCCCAAACAATGATAATTACGTGCAGTAGAGTTTTCAATCTCCATATTCGATTTTGTAGCTTAATTTTGAATCGTCAAGCACTTTTAATAACCCTACATTTGCCACTCAAAATAGCACATTTAGTTTTTTTAACAATTCAAGCTATATATTGGTCGATTATAGTCATCTGTTGTCATGATAGATATTAAGTTACAAGACATGACCAATGGAATATTGAGCAATGAACATATTTGGCTTAAATTCTTCTTAGTAAAGAACTTCATGGCTTGACCATTAAAGCTATTAATGGGAGGGCATTTAAGCCATCTGATATAACAATAGACATTAAGTTATCACACATAGTTGTAGGAGTTCCAAATAATACTTTGTCTAAATGTTACAAATGATTCCCTCTGTTAATATATGTCTTTCCTGGCCATATCCATGGCAGCACAACAATGGGTAGCTCCTCCCCTATCCCTAGTTAGACAGGAACTAATTAAAATAAGGGTATAAATACCCCCTCCTACCTCCTCCTCCCTCAGTCTTTTTGTTCCTGTCCTATCCCTATAGGACCAAATTAGTCTATTTTCAGGACTATAATCACTTTTCTTTTATGGCTTACCTGAGGGTTTTTACCTTCTGTCCTCAAGGAAGTTCAGCCTCTCTTCCTTGGGAAGCTTCAGTATCCGGCCCTGTGCAAAGGTGTCCCCCTGAAGATACCCCCTTAGTGACCGGGGGTTTTACTTGCAGTGACCCTAGGGGTAGCAAGAGAAAAATGCCAAATAACTCTGATTCCCTGCAGTGACCAAGAGGTAGCAGGAAGTGGCAAGAAGACTTTATCCTGGATGGATTTCTACATATTGAAACAGCCCACATGTATGTATGTACAAATACTTTTTACCATATATATACTGTATTTGTTAAATCATATGTGTGGGTTTCCCCCCCCCCTGCCTATTATTTCTATGTACCTTTCATTTCTTTCACGCCTTCTCGGCGTCCTGTTTGTCCGGGTGTTTCGCGTGCACGCTAGCTTCATACGCGTGCACGCCGGGTCCGCGCGCACGCTAAACACCGCGCATGCGTCTGGTCCCCATGAGGCAGTTACAGTGCCTCCAACTCGGAAGTAGCTTCCGGGTTTGTGCCGCGCATGCGCAGTTAACGAGCGGTGAATTCGCTTGTTTTGAGCATGCACGGATAGGCGGTGACGTCAGTTATGACGTCACACGCCTATTTAAGCGCCAAAATTGGATTAAATTGTTAACTGATGTCCTCATTAGGTCTTTAGAGGACCTGTTTTCATACAGTTCTCAATTTGAATTGCGTTTTTCAATTTTACAGAAAAATCTGAAGGTAAGCTTTACTTCTTAAAGGTATATACACTTTTTTTTTTCATTTCTTTACTCCTTTCTTTCTATAACAATAAAAATTCATTTTATAGACTGTTCATAATCAACTCCAAAATGGAGAAGGACAAAAGGAGATCAATTTCTTCTGATTCGGACTCTTCTGGATATAAAAATAGGTCACACTCTAAGAGTTATAGGTAAGCCATATCACATCATTTATTTCCTTTCCGGAATATGATACATGAAATAAAAGAGTGCTAATATGAGATATTTCCCTATCATGATAGTTCTACGGGAAAGAAAACAGTGAGATCATCCAAAGGAAAATCTCCAAAGAAAAATCAATGCGAAGCCTGTAATAATAAACCGCTGGAAGGCAAACGGTTATGTGCAGAATGTTTATCTGAAGCGGCTGGAACATCTAATCCTTCAATGGAATTTGTACAGTTCATAAAACAAGCGGTGGCTCAAGGTATCAAAGAAGCAGGGGCAAGTCACAAAAGACCCCGGTTACATGAACCTTCGGATTACCAACATAATGATTCGTCAGATGAATCCATGGATATGGAATCATACCAGGGGAATTTATTATCTTCAGACGAAGAAGAAACTCAGGCCCCTGCAGATTTTCTAGAACCTGCTCAGATAGACCACCTCATTTACAAAGTCCGTAAATCTTTGAGCTTGAAGGAGGCAGTTGCAGAGCAGTCAACCTCTTATCGTTATTTCTCAGACTTGAGAAAGAAAAGAGCAACCTTTCCAGTGCATGATACTATTAAGGAATTAATTAAAGACGAGTGGTCTAATACAGATAAGAAGCTTTCAGCACAAGGCAGAATATCTCGCCTCTATCCTTTTGACAAGTCTGATTCATACCATTGGGATAATGCCCCTAAGGTGGATGCGGCAGTAGTTCGACTCGCAAAACATACCACATTACCAGTAGATGATGCAGGCTCATTTAGACATCCAATGGACAAAAAGATGGATCTGCATCTCTCAAAAGCTTATGTAGCAGCAGGGACTGGTTTTCACCCTGCAATAGCCCTTACTTCAGTGTCCAGGGCCTTAAAAATCTGGATTGAAAACTTGGAAGAAGATATCAGAGATGGGAGAAACAGATCTTCTCTTCTGGAAAGATTAAATGATATTAAACTGGCCGTTGACTTTACCTCAGAATCCTCGGTGGACATGGTGAAAGCTTTAGCAAGAAACATGGCTCTTTCAATTTCAGCTAGAAGAGCTTTATGGCTGAGATCCTGGTCCGCAGATTCATCATCAAAGTCTAGTCTATGCGCCCTTCCTTTTCATGGTGAGATGTTGTTTGGTAAAAATCTAGACGAGTGCATCAAAAGAGCTGCAGAAGGTAAAAAAGCCTTTCTCCCACAAGACCAGAAAACCTGTGGATCCTTTCGAGCCAGAAGATACTCTGAATACCCCTCTTTTCGTGATACCAGATCTTATAAACCAGGAAGAGAATATGGAAGATCTATTCCATGGAGAGGAGGACATTCATCCAACAGAGGAGGAAAGTCTAGAGGTTCCTCATTTCACAAGAAGCCTTTATAACAAACCCACCTCCCATTCTGGAGGAGTAGGTGCCCGTCTACTACTATTCCAGAATATGTGGAAACATTCAACTCAAGACAGATGGGTGCTGGATATCATACAAAGAGGTTATCTTATAGAATTCTCCACAAGGCCGCCACCTCGCTCCTTCCAGAAGACAATCTGGCCAAGAGATGTAGAAAAAAGAAATTCCCTAAAAAAGTTTATCTCATCCCTTCAAGAAGATGGAGTTATCGTTCAAGTTCCAAGAGCTCAACGAACACAGGGGTTTTACTCCCATATCTTACTCACCAGAAAATCCACAGGGGGATGGAGACCAATATTAGACCTAAGCAGACTAAACAAGTTCCTAAACATAAGGAAATTCAAGATGGAGTCTCTTCAATCCATTGTAAAAGCAGTTTTTCCAGATCAATGGCTCATGTCAATAGACCTGGCAGATGCATATTTCCATATTCCCATAGCACCCCAGCATCAAAAATTCCTCAGATTCGCTGTGGAAGAGGGTCATTTTCAGTTCCGTGCTCTCCATTTTGGGCTAAGCACTGCTCCGCGTACTTTCTCAAAAGTTCTGGTGGTTCTAATCACAGAACTCAGGAAGAAAGGCATTGCAGTATATCATTACCTCGACGACATCTTGATTCTGGCAGAAAACAGAGATATATTAGAAGATCACGGCCTGATATGTATACAGTATCTTCAACAACACGGATGGAAGATCAATTTCGCCAAAAGCAACCTAAAGCCATCCCAGAGTATGATATATCTAGGAGCAGCATTCAACACTGCAGAAGGTTCCGTCCAACTATCCCCAGAAAGGGGTATGAAAATTCGGAAAAAGGTCAAAGACATGTTAGCATCCAGTGTTTCCTCAGCAGAGACAACTATGAGCCTCCTGGGATCAATGTCCTCCACCATAGGACTTACAAGATGGGCCCAATGGAGAATGAGGCCTTTCCAAAGGAATTTCCTTTCTCAATTCAAGGGCAATCTGTCTCAACCTATAATGATCCCTCCTCACGTACAAGAATCCCTGAAGTGGTGGACCCAGAAAGAGTCTCTCTTCAGAGGTTATCCCTTAGGAAATATTCCATGGATCATCATCACCACAGATGCCAGTCAATGGGGCTGGGGAGCCCATCTTCAAGACAACTATGTTCAGGGGAAATGGGCATTTTCAACCTCCAACACCCCTTCGAATCTTCTAGAACTTCTGGCAGTTTTCAAGGCTCTAATGCACTTCCAGCAACTTTTACTCCACAAATGGGTCAAGATCAGGACAGACAATGCCACAGTTGTGGCATATATAAATCACCAAGGAGGGACGAGAAGTTGCAGAATGATGAAAATTATGAAACCTTTGATGTCCTGGGCCCAAATGAATTTGGAGAATATCTCTGCAATACATCTCCCAGGAACTCAGAACTCTGTGGCAGACTTTCTCAGCAGGGTGAGATTAGACCCGGGAGAATGGAGTCTATCAGACATAATATTTCTACAGATCGTAGAAAAATGGGGCCTTCCCCAGATAGATCTAATGGCTACAAGCAACAACAGAAAAGTCAAGAACTTCTTTTCGAGAATTCCAGATCCCCAAGCCATAGGAAGGGACGCATTGACATGCAGTTGGGACTTCGACCTAGCTTATGCCTTTCCTCCGAAACCCCTCATCTTCCCTCTGCTAAGGAGACTACGACAAGAGAAGGCATCACTGATTCTAATAGCCCCTTTTTGGCCTCGCAGACCTTGGTTCCCGCTCCTACTAAGTCTGTGCAAGAAGGATCCATGGCATCTTCCAGTTGTCCCATTCCTGCTACATCAGGGTCCAATTCATCATCCAAACCCAGCATCCCTTCGTCTGATGGCATGGTACTTGAAAGGGAAGGGTTAAAGAACAAGGGGTTTTCGAGATCAGTAATCGAGACACTTCTTCAAGCAAGGAAAAAGTCCACTTCATCCACTTACTACAGAATATGGGATGTATTTTCTTCATGGGCCAGTTCAAGACCCTTTGATATTTTGAACCCTTCAACTACTGACATTCTTGATTTTTTACAATCAGGTCTAGAGAAGGGATTGAGTTATAACACTTTGAAGGTACATATTTCAGCCCTCTCTGTTTTAACTAATCATAAATGGGCACTGGATCCGGACATAGCTAGATTTCTGACTGCAGTCCTCAAGATCAAGCCACCCATTAAGTCTATTACTCCGCCATGGGATCTCCCTCTGGTCCTGAAGGCTCTTAAAGCAGATCTTTTTGAACCTATGGCATCAATTTCCTGTCATCTTCTCACGATCAAGACAGTTCTACTAGTAGCCCTAGCCTCTGGTAGAAGGGTTTCTGATCTTCAGGCTCTTTCAGCTCGAGAACCTTTTACGATATTTCATAAGGACAGAGTCATCCTGAGAACGGTTCCAGAATTCCGCCCTAAGGTAACTTCAGAGTTCCATATGAATGAAGAAATAATCCTTCCAGCATTAAGTACAGAAGAATCTATTAACGGGGAAAACGCTGATGATGATGCTATTGACCTAGTAAGATGTCTTAAGATATATATACAAAGATCCTCAGAATGGCGTATTTCGGAAAGGCTTTTTGTTATTCCTAATGGCCCTAGGAAGGGTCTGCAATCTTCGAAAGCCACTATCAGCAGATGGATAGTTTCGGCCATTATCCAATCTTATAGATCATCTAATACAAGTGTTCCTGAAGGTTTGAAAGCTCATTCTACACATTCCCTTTCTTCATCCTGGGCAGCTGCAGCAAAGGTTTCTACAGAACTGATTTGCAAAGCAGCCACTTGGTCATCTTCTAATACATTTATTAGACATTATCGTTTAGATGTAAGAGCTGGGCAATACGATGGATTTATCAGATCAGTTCTTTCTGCCTCAAAGGATTAACTACTATTCTTTTTGTTCGTCACATTGAGTTGTTTGTTATAATTCACTTGCATTATATAATAATGTGTCTGAGTTTTTCTTTCCCTCCCTTGGTTTTAGCTTGGGTATTACCCATTGTTGTGCTGCCATGGATATGGCCAGGAAAGAGATAAATTTACTCATACTTACCGTAATTTTCTTTTCCTGGTCATAGGCCATGGCAGCACAAAGGTCCCACCCACGGATATTGCTGTTAACTAGACTGAGGGAGGAGGAGGTAGGAGGGGGTATTTATACTCTTATTTTAATTAGTTCCTCTCTAACTAGGGATAGGGGAGGAGCTACCCATTGTTGTGCTGCCATGGCCTATGACCAGGAAAAGAAAATTACGGTAAGTATGAGTAAATTTATCTCTTTAGCATTTAACTATTGAGCAAACAAGAGTCCCCAGATGGACTTTTCAAAATAAAATACAATTAGTTTTTAGCAAACCAAGGTTCTAGCCTGTTTCTCGAAAGCTATCGGGTCAGTCCCAAGTGTTGGGGATGT